GACGTAGTTTGATGGCCTCCAAAATGTGCCTACAATTCACCGAATGGGCTCGGTTTCGTTGTGACACCTGTACAACAAAATGCATTAAGAAAACTCCTTCTACTACATGGCATTTATGTGGTGTCGTTTGCCGGAGCAGCTGAAGGTAATGCAGGTAGCGTCTTAGCTTTGTGGTAGAACAACTGCTTCCCACGCTAACGAGTAAAATTCTCTCAATGGGATCGAGAATTCTATTCTTTAATTTATTCGCTGCTATCTCAATTTTTCGCTCACAGACGATTTTTTGCTCACAACCAAGGGTGCTGACGGCGACAGCGGAATTTCTGCGACACGAGCTCTCTAACGCTATCGCGTTAAAATGCTTTTCTTAGATGTGTGTTATTACTAATAAATGAATAACATTGACAAATCAACTTTTGTGCATAAATCCAAGGTGAGCCATGCTTACATATTCTATTATTGATGGGAATTATTCCATCACTTACCATCACAAAAAGCTTTGCCGTCGGCGTGGTGTTTCGTAGCGTTCCACTCTGCATAGCCGTTTGCAGCAGGAACCCTAGAGACAGAAAAGGTTTTCGTCTAGTGTTATGTAGTCCCAACAACAGAACGACATTGCAACTACGCTATAAGTGAAGAAGGCGAAAGGTTATGTACATGGACAATTTTCCTGTTGTCAGGCGGAAGGGGAAGAAAAAGGAAAGGGCTGGGAGGTTAGCCAGTTCTCAGACCAGCTGGCTAGGCTGATTTTTTGGGGATAGAGGGGCGAATTTCTAACTAAACCAATGTGCAGGAGAAACCGAGTCCTACTTGTGCTAAAATATCGCAATATTTTTGAAGAGTTCTGGTGTAAGAGACTAAAAAAGTCCCTTTCGAGTGAAGAAATTAAGTTTCCTACGATAATAACGCTCGACATTGCACGTAGAACACGATACGTATCTGCATGAACAAGAACGAATCTGCCACGTTTTGAAATTGAAGACTCTCGCAGTCTCAAATGTGGTATCACGCGGCCCTAGCAGTAAAGAGGTCACTGGCGTACCCGTTGCCTATGCAGATTGGGTGCCTCCATTAGATTTAATTCCATACCGAGGAATAACAACTTGCCACTATTTCACTCCTTTCAATTCCTCATAATAAAGGCTCAGCCCATTCCTACTTCGATAATGACTGGGCAGGTTTATTCCATTCCTACAATTCTTGAAAATGAGAGAGGCATACTTTTATAGTTTTTTCGAGCTAAGAATAATTGTAGAAACATAAAGTTGATGTAATCAGATGCATTAGGAAGTGCGAAAGTGGGCAAAACACGCCATGGTCGAGAGATAGTTGTTTAATGACTTATCTCATGCAATGCAACCACACAAGTTCTCATAGGGGTAGTTTTCCCGCTACCTATAGTATTTGCATGGTCAGCACAATCTTAAGAAAAACGTTAGTAGTAGACAGTCGGCAATTGTGTTTACATGTTTCGAGCGTATTTTACAACCTTCCCCGCATCTGTTTACTAAATGCCAGCAGCTAGTAATGCTTGAGACTTTTGCCGTAACTAACCAGGAATGTCTTGTGGTGAGAGTGCTTCGCACAACCCAAATCGTAAGTGAAAGTAAAAGCGACAGCGAAAAAACAACCGACGAAGACGAAGGCGTGCGCGTGGTCAGACGAGCGTGAGCGCGTGAGCTTCGGAACTGCGACGGGCAGAAGAAAAACGCGGCCAGCTAGCAAGAGCGCTAGGCGGTGAGCCTCAGGGAACCGAACGAACGAGCCGGTGTCACGAACCCGGCCAGAACGAGCGTGGCGTGTTCCTGAGGCGAGTGGCAGTTCCGGGCGGGGCCTGACATCCTGTTCTTGTGGCGGACGAGCGTGTGGGCCAGGGCGAGTGGCTGATTCTGTCCAGACTAGGGTCTGGCACAACCAGTCACCGAGATCGTGGCCACGGTGTCACGTCGGGGCCAGTCCGGCACAACCACCAACTGACGGTGCTACCTCAATGATGAGTCAGCCGCAGCGTGGGCCACCTGTTCCGACACGAGCAGCTGATGGTCTGCTCGTGAGCTCCCGTGCACTTAGCAACCTTCCCGTGGCGAGCTTGCGTCGTCGACGCCTTTGTCTTCAGCGGGAGCGGGAGTGACACCCGACGGAATTAGACTTCCGAGTAGTGAGGACGCGTTGGTTACTCGCGTGCGCGTAGACATAAGGACTGTAGGACTGCGTTATAGAAGTCAGTGTTTTGACCAGATAGCCACAGTGTTGTGATTATTTTGTGTGTGAAGCCGATAAATGTTTTCCTTGTCCTTGTCCTGTGTTTCTGCGTCTGAGGGCCCAAGAACCACCACAGCCTTCTTGGTCTTTATTAGCTAGATAACTACTAAGCTATATACGCTGCCAGATTTCTTGTAGACACCACCGTATATTTTTCAGTAATCGTGGCGCTCTATAGAAAAGTTTCGTCCAACCTTTATTTTGTCGATTAATTTGGAATAAAAACTCCGTGCTAAGTGATGACACCCATATCTGCAAATAAAAGGGCTGAGGGCGATGTGTAAAAACGTCCATTATGTTTCTAAATTGTGTAGCTGCTAACCAGTAGACAGTGTGCTATTCCAAAGTAATACCCTTCAAACGGCTGCTACAGCATATAGATATCGGCTAAGTCTTGATATTCTATGTGCGCGTTTCCGTGTATGTTCTCATCTGTGATTAGGTCATGCCTCTGTGTATGTTGCTGTGATAAGTACTTGACATGGTAAATACACGACGTAATTAGTGGCCACAAAATATTCGACGTGAACAATGGCCCTTCGCTTGTTACTCTAAATACACTTCCTTAATAAAATTGTTCATGTGGCAATGTACGTGCATATATAGGCGTGTGTTAACTAAAAATTCAGTAATGTATCAATTATTCAAGTCGGCACTATTCGCGAATTACTTCGCAATGCTATAGGAAACTTCCTTCTTGAAATGTTTGCGCAAGCACACGGGGACACAGAAGAGAAACGGGCGCAATCTAACAACTCGTTCGTTCTTCGAAAACATTCACTCAACACCCCTCGGATCTGCGCACTCTGGTCACCAAAAAACATTTGCTCTGCGCACATATCACAACTAACGATCACAAGTTCATTGAAGAATAGATAGGAGCGAATTCCTTTCGCCAGCAAGGCTACCTAAGGGTGGCTAACACAGTTATCGTTCTGCTTGTCTATGAGATAGGCTTCCCTCATTTCTCTTGAAGTCCAGTTTTTATTCCCATACACCAAGCTAGTGTTGTTAAAACAAGGAGAGCCTGCGCACTCATTGCAATGCATTGGTAAATGTGTGTTAGGGTGACCTTTCCGACTTGACACATGCTCCCTTAGCCTCGTGTTAACGCACCTGAAAGTCAGCCCTTTATATAAACAACCGCATGTCAGAGGTATACAATACATCAGATTGTGTGCACAGTCAACCAACATGAGCTTGTGTTTTAGGCTGCATTTTTTATTTCTCCTTCACCAAGGCACACACTCCTCCGATTTTGTTTTTGGCCAAAAAAACCTCCTTTAGATCGTATTTTACAGCCACCCTTTTTATTCTGTGCGATAGCCTGTGTGCATAAGGTATTTTTACCACCTTATATCTAGAACCAGTCAGCCCACCCGTTTCCTAAAATGGTACCGTTCCATGTTTGAGCTTCTCTAATAGCCTGGTGACCTACAGCCAACATCAAAGAGAACGAGTACCCTGCGTCCTGGAGCCTAGAAGCCTGTTCATGATTCGATGAAACTCACACACTGAGGTCAAGATCCAGTGCCTACATATACGTAGTAGCCAGTACAGCGTGAGCTGTGGTTTTTTTGTTTCAATCAAGAAACCCGGTAGCAGTAGCTGCCTGCGACGGAATTGCGAGCCGAGAGAGGGGGGAGGGGCATAGAAGAGGGCAGAAGGGAAATAGATGCGTAATAGCGGTGTAAATGCCGCTGGGAAGGATGCCTAGAGGAAAGAAAGGAGGAAGCGAGCGTAGACTAGCAGGCGCTGCATGCGTCGGCATCGCGAGGCGCGAGAGGGTAGACAGTAGGACAGGAGAGAGGAAGAGGGGCACGCATGCGCAGTAAGGGTGGTCACGCCGTACACAAGATTGTACTCGGAGTCTTTGCGTGCGCTTAGGTACACATGGACGCCGACTCTTCAGACTTGGCTCAACGAAAGTGACTTAAACTCAAGACTAACTAAAATTGTTTTTAATTAGGCTCACTTAGCCTCAAACTCATTAATCTTTTATTCACCCAATATCACTCAGATTCGGATTCACGACCCTGTCTGAGCGAGTCCGAGTCGACTAATTAGTCAGTTTGCCTACCTATGAAAACATATGGCATTACACTTCAAAGGTGTTAGCACTTGCTAAACAAACATTAGATATGGTGATGCTGTCCGAAGGTCATCTGATACATACTGCGGATTTGAAGGGTTGCCCATGGTTTTTGCGTACCAATCGTTCATGATGTCATTTCAAGTCTTGTCGGAATTGCAAATGTTTAACATGCTTTTATGATCAAAAGCTCACTCAAAGCTCTGTTAAAACATTTGCTGAAATATTTCTTATAACTGAAGTATTCAACAGAAAAACCGTTTTATTTTTTAATAACGTGCTACCTTCCAATTTCCGCAATGGCAACAGGTGGTGCCGACTGCTGCTCCCGCGTTCAATGCACACATATAGCCTATAATGTGGACGGTGGGATGACCATATCCGTAGCTCAGTGGTAGAGCATCGAACGTTTTATTCGAAGGTCACAATTTTGGAGTCTGGTTGTGTCAAGTTATCTTTACGCCCTGTTTTCTTTTTCAAGTTTATATTAAAATTCCTTCTAAGTACATCCCCTATATTTATCTTGGCATCATTGTTTGTTAGTCCGCATCAATATGGTGGCGAATGAAAACGAGCCCTTAAGTTAAACTTTTTTACTGCCTTCATTGTGTCCTTTACTGAGAAGCTATGTAAATCTGCCTGGCAACAGGTTCATGATATTTATTAGGCACAATTCAAGAATAATTGTTTTCAGAATGACTCATTTTGTTGAAACACTGCAGAGTATTTGAGAAAGAGAATTAGCCTTAGGAATCATTGATCTGTATGTAATGACTATCACACGCGTGGCTTCTTTCAATCAAATGCGCAATAGTTACTGGGCACTCACATAGCACTGTGCAGCAAAAGTGCTCCACTGCTTGAACTCGGCTGTGCAGTGGCACTGCTGTCAGCTGACGTCGTAAGCCATAGTCTCTCTGCTTCAGACCGCAGTCGACTCTCCTCACTGCAGAATACAACACCATGCAATAAAAAATCAAACACATTGCGTAAACTACATCGTAAATCTGCTGCGCAAGGGATGGTTTAGTGCAATGCATGAATGTTTACATGCCTATCGGCCAGTTCTGTTTGCCTTTGACACTTCATAGCCAAATCCGTATTATCAATGCGCTATGCGCTTACTGTACGCGATTCGTTTCAACAAATTTTTTAGCAGAATCTTCATCGATCATGATGACGTATTCTAACAAATGTATGAAAAAACCGTAGCAATCACGATTTCTTGTACATATGTTAACAATTAACGGGAAAATGCGATGCTTATTGCAACAAGCTGGCACTCTGGTACCGCAACTCATTAAATAGCACAACCTATTCTTACGGCGATGCGATAACATTTTGATTCTGTGCACGCGCGTTTTCCCACCAGCGTGTGCGAAGCATTCAAAATCACAGTGCTCGGAAAAGCGTCCTCGTGCGCTTGACTCACTATGCATCAGTCTACTGAACGCCACAGCCTATCTGTGTAGGCTTTCGCAAGATGACTGCATGTAAGGTCCAGCATCATCTTACTACCAAACTTTAATAATTTAAATATCTAGGGCTAGATGGGCCAAAACTATGGCATTATTATACAGCCTTAGAAAAAGGCTACTGAAATTTTCATGATCTGGTTCTCGCGTGGGATTTCATCGAATATTGCATTGGTCCCTTTTGCGTCCGTCGAAAGGCGACCATTGTTGCCGGAATGAAACACACGACTTTCGCATCGCACATCGAGCACAATGACTTTTTTATCAAGGAGGCGTAAGTTACCATTCTTTAGTTTGCACACAAGGGGTCATCATACACAATAAGATAAAATACAGTCAGCCTGCGTAACGCACCGGAGGTCTCAGAAGACACCGTAATGCCAAAAATATAGGCACTGTCACATTCCCAGAAAGGAAAAGAAGCTAAGGCATTCCGTGATTTACGTGCCGTAATTCGGGCTACACGAACTCACGGAAGTCTTCTACAAGAGCTCACCTGCAGTTTTCTTGAGTCGAGCTTGCTTGGCGCATTTCCGGAACTGCTGTGTAGCGGCCGTCAACAATCGTGATATGCCGACGTAGTTGCTCTTCGTGGGACATGTCCTTTGGTCTCAATCGGCAAGTCGGGGTGTATGCATGAGTGTTCCACAAGAATCTGATCTGGCTATGACTTGGAACGTGTCTGCCTGGCATGTTGTCACGAGCATCTGCCGCTACCAATCGTAAAGTATTGTGGGGCAGTAGTCCATCGGCCATGTGCCTTGCTTCACGTGGGAACATTGCATGCACTTTGCACGGTGAAAAAAGCGCGAACCACCATCAACCGACACCGAGTGTAGGTTTTCGCGCTGTGCCAAAAAGTAAAGCCTTGTGTCGACACGTGCCATCACGCATGCGCGTTCTTCCGCGCACTGTGTATTATAAAATCGCCGCTTGAGGCTCTGTGTATTTCTCACAGGGTGTTCTATTCTAGGCTGCCCAGATGCTGCTATATCAAGCATGTCCACATTCTCACCTGCATTGGGAAATTCTACAGTGTCTTCCTGCCGCTTGTTGCGAACGGCAGTCAATAAAGAATAATTAGTGAAATATTCTTTTGGCAACTACGCTCACTTCCACAAGCATGCATGTTGTGCAGTTGCAAGATGGCAGCGTTTCGACGTTCGAACATCGTTCATATTCCGTTCCGCGCGTTCAAGTTGAACGTGGTGATTATATAAATGTTTGTTTATTAAGCTGACAGCATTCGTATGAGCTAGGATGGGCACAAATCGGAGGAAGTTCAACAGCAGGTAAGAAGCATCAAACTTCATGGGGGAAGAGGGTAGCAGAATTAATTTACTTCACTAACAATGCCAAGGTAATTGAATGCATGTCCTTCACCCGGCAGCTCATCTTCTAGAAGAAGGATCTCTTACTGTATAATTTAATATGTTACCAAATGCACAGCAGGCTTTCGCCTTGAGGTGTTAAAGTGTGTTTACACGTCACCAATATATTTAACAGCCGGACTGTTGGTTGTAGTCCAGTAAAGAAAAATTGTTGTCATCATGAACACGCACGAGCTATATTCGTCTCTGTTTCGTTTACAGAACCCGTGAGCCATTCGTCCGGTATGTAATAGAGTAGTAACCGTGTGGGTTGGACGTCCGGAAACCATGATGTCCTTATTGGAGATGCCGTAGTGAACGTCTCCAGAAACTTTGACCGCTTGGGGTTCTTTCGCGTGCACCTACGTCTAAATACGCTGGCTTCAAGCATAAATTCCCGTTACCGAAAACGCGGCAGCCGAAGGTGGGATTTGATCCCATTACTGGTGAGTGAGCAGTAGAGCGTCGAAACTGCTAAACCACCACATGGTTGTAATGGGAAAGCTACGATGTGTGAAAAAACGGGTATGGAAGAAGATAAAGATAGAAACAGAGAAATCTCTGGCGAAAAAGGAATCGTTGAGGAGACGTGATTCGGACACGTGGTACCTACGACTTGAAAGCGCGCATCGTAACCACTTGGCCAGCCAGGCTCGCGCTAGCAAAGCCAAACACATACTATGGTGTAGTATACGAAGGAGGTTGCAGCGTGAAGGGGCCATGAGGAGAATAGATGTGAGGTTCGGAGGGAAGAAAGGAGGTGGGGATATAGTAAAACATAGCATATAAAGAAAGAGAAAAGAGGAGACAAAGAAACATAGGTAGCCATAAGCATTGATGTAGAGAAGAATGAAAGGAGAGAAAGAGAAATAAGGAGGGCCTCCCAGCTTTGCACTTCCTTTAGTCTCAGTGCCACCATTGTGAAGCTGACTTGATTGCACCCCCCTCGCCCACAGTTTTGCAACTGTAAACGCTAAATAACAAATTAAATGGAAACATATCTGAAACAGATGCAAAGTGACAACAAACTTTTTCAAGCTACACTCTCACAGTAGCAAGGTATCAACCTTGCTTTTTCCTCTTTAGGCTTATCATATATGCACTTGGTAGGCGCTTACGCGGCCCCGCCATGGTGGTCTAGTGGCTAAGGCACTCGGCTGCTGACCCGCAGGTCGCGCGAACAAATCCCGGCTGCGGCGGCTGCATTTCCGATGGAGGCGGAAATGTTGTCGGCCCGTGTGCTCAGATTTGGGTGCACGTTAAAGAACCCCAGGTGGTCTAAATTTCCCGAGCCCTCCACTACGGCGTCTCTCTTAATCATATGGTGGTTTTGGGACATTAAACCCCACATATCAATCAATCAAAAGGCATTGACGTGGTGTCTACGTTTTTTGTAGCTCTCGGCGTCGCGGCAGTTTTTTTACTCGAGGAAGAAAACAGGTGCTACATGTTGGGTGCGGCTGGTTTGACGGCAACTTTTACGACGCTACTGTTCGCGCACGATTGTGCTACAGTTTTAACACCGAGTTCGGACTTGCGCGTCTGTTTGACAACTGTTTGTTGTTATCGTTGTTGCGTTGGCTAACATTTGATCTCGATTCGTATACCCCTTTTTAAAAGGTGAATGAGGCTGTAAGTAGCTTCCTATATGTTCGCTGTTCTACAAATATTAGTTCTAGAATCACATGTCATGTGGATTGTCAGCTGAATACATACGCGCTTGCACATTTCCTATTTAAATCTGAGTAATGCCACGGGTGCGAACTTTCGTATAAACCTCAGTTTTTTTGTGCTGAATTTAAATGCATTTGATAGAGAATTGTGGCTTCAACAGTGTTTGTGACTCGATTTTCAGAAGTACGTGACTGTAATGCAGCATGAACTTCCTCATATGTTTTCTATTGTCTGTGAAATAATAACCACTGCGAATGTTTGTTGATCATTTGCTCTAGTGCTTTCATACAATATTATGCACCTGTGCCGTATGTTACAACATTGCTTAGCTTTCTCTTAATTCTAATTCATGATTAGCTCGAAGATATTGAAAGTGCTGGACGAAGTTGAAAATATATGTGTTTTGTACATTCGTTAAGCATACATACAGCCATGATCTGCACTGCTGTTGTGCTGTTCTTGGTGTTCAATGAAAAAAAAAGATATTTCGCGTTGCAACAGCTTTTATTTCACTCGTGTTAGCTGGTTACGCAAACATCTTCAAGGCATGCAGGTTAGAAACGCACCGCGCTCGCGCACAACAATAAAAAACGAGCCCGTAATTTTCAAACAAATAAAGAAGAACAATCGACGTAACAAATTCCATGCTGTATATTGGAGCAGCATCGGCCGTGAAAATATCAAACCAGAATTTAAAGTGAATTTAAAAAAAATGTGTTAGTATCCGCGCAAGGTTGAGCTGCGCAATCCCCTTTTCGCCACCGTTCGTCGTTGGTGGCGCCACCGGTACCACTCAAAGCTGTAGCGCAATAGGCGGATACGTGGCTACTCAGATTAGGCATGATATTTGTATTTTCCAATGACCGCGGAAGCAGCTGTTTAAGGTTAAGCGGCATTTACTGGTGAGGTGGCGTTACTGTCCTGCCTCTCGAAGAATAGCTCCTTTTCATCCTCATACTCAGCTGAATATATTTATTTTTATCACTTCCCTAATCTATCTGTATTAAAACTTGAGGCAAATGAAATCAAGCGATAACAAATTGGTTTAGAAAGATTCTATATTTCAGATTTTGATGGGCAGGAACAATATTTTTCCAAAGGCATTGTAGAAGAGGACTTCTTACGAATGCTGACAGATCGGGCATTTGGCGCATCGGGCACTTTTCATGATTATTGGGGAGGGGGGGGGGGCCATCATATCTATTGTTATCAGTCTTCTGGGGCCCCTGCCATGAACATTTGTTTGAAACACACTGTTTAAGCTGGGTGTCTTGGCAACATAGTCAAGTTTGTTCTGACAGGATCACTGCAAAACGCAGGGAATCGCGGCATATTTGAAAAAGTGTGCCGCTGACTACTAACCGATTACTTACGAACTCCCTTATTCTATCATGCATTAACCTTTTAGTTTACCCCTGAAGTTATCTGACAAAGACAGCACGCCAGTCTTCATGGCTCAGCTCCCAAACGGACACACAAGAGTGGGCCACGGAGTTGGCAGAGGCAGTCACTGGGGCCAAAAGTATTTTGGCCGGCTTAAGTATAGTGAAATCTTGTCGCTGAACATCATCTCCATCACATCACATTGTTTTTTCTCCTCATCCTCCTCTAGCACACGAATTGTCACCCAATTTTTATGGATGAACTGAATGGGAATGCTACGCTTGTTGAAACGCATAATTACGTCTGCCGCATCGCCAGATGTATAGTAGTAGAGCTGGCACGTTAACCAAGATGTTTCTCAATGCTTCCTTTCCCACATCAGAGATGCACCTGCTGAGATTAGCTGATTTCACTGCTCCAAGTAATGAAGTCACGAAGTCACCTATGTGTTCACCGAAGTCAATATGCAGCAGAGTGCCAACCTTCACTCCTATCACAGTAGCAGAAATTCAAAAATAAGCACTTTTATTAAACAGTGATTCATCATACATTATTTGACTGGAATGATGCCTTGCTCATTTCGATGGTGAAAAAGTAGACAGCCGTGTGGATGTGAAGGGGGAGATAGGATTGATCAATTGTTATGAAATCCCAAAATGAGATTTCCGGGGGTGTAGACGTTATTCTAAAGCCCCACTGGCACAAGCACCTCGCTTGGCTTGTTCCAAGGTTGCCCGCTTGCTTCCCAGGTCCCAACAAATGTGACCCACCTGCCACAACCTTTCAAGTTTGTTGCGTGCAATGATGGGTGAGTTGCCCTCGGCTGGTCTTTGCCTAAAAGTCCGACTTGTGTAAAATATATAGGTGCCCACGGTTGCTTTTTATGAGTTATCAGGACAAATAAACTTCTGAAAACATCAATGCACCAACAGCACTTAAAATTTACCACATATCTTCACCGATGGTCCCCAATGAGGACGTTTGTACGCAAGTCAAATGATTTGCACATTTCGCTAGTAAAGATGTAGACAGCTGTGTTAATATGGAGGTGTTAACGAGTGTTCTTCCTGAGCGACGAGGTTAGTTAAATGCACAAAAATACTGAAGCTCCACTAGCAAATACAATTCAACTCTTATGCTCATCAATCGCTCTGAACGAAAATGTTTTATTCATGAGAAGGATTTATTTCAAATTTTGCCAGTGCAACGATACACAGCCATGCAATTGTGATTGTACCCTCGTGTGCTTTTCAGGATGTATGGGGTTAGTTTAACGTCTAAAAGTCTTGGCGCGCCAATTAGCACGCCAAAATTGAGCGCTTATGTCCAACCATGGTTCAACATTAAAATTTGTATTGT